GAAGGGCAGCTAGGGACCATAGTCTCAGTGGTTCCATCAGGCTCTATCGGACCAGCAAACCTGGTCCCCACCTTTTTTTTTATTCTCCAAATGATTTTGAGTTTTGTTCCATGTTGTTCTCCCTCTCTATCAAGGATCTCCTACATAGATCCCCTTCCAAGTGGATGACAGTGGTAGCCGGGCACCATCTAGTTCTTCTGGTCTCATAGTTGTATAGGCTGCAGTTCAGATGGTGTACCAGTCGCTAGGACTAATTGTTTCCATGAATTTTGGTTTTCTTCATTCTTCTTTGCTCTGGATGAGGAGAGACCCCATCATTGCATCTAGATGGGAGCTTGCTAGCTTTTAAGATCCCAGTCGCTACTCGCCAAAGTAGGAGGTGGAACAATATTTTGTATAGTATGTTATGCCAATTGAGCTTGATGTCCCCTGTGACTATGGTTGGATTTAATTTTCTTCAGCTTCAACTTGAACTTGCATGTGAGCAATTGATGTTCTGTTCCAAAAGTCGGCTCCTGGCCTTATTCTGATTGACGATGTTGAACTTCTCCATCGTCTCTTTCCACAGATGTATATTGCCTCCAGTGAGGTCCATGTGTATAGTCACCTATATAGTTGCCATTTATGTTGTATTTGCAATGAATAACTTGTCAGTGTTGTAAAATCCTATCATGTGATCTCCAGCATCGTTTTTATTACCAAGGCCGTATTTTCCAGCTTTCGATCCTTCTTCATTTGTAACTTTTGCATTCCTATCACCAGTAAGTATCAATGTATCTTGATTGCATATTTGATCAATTTCAGACTGCAGAAGTTGGTAAAAATGTTTAATTTCTTCATCTTTGGCACTAGTGGTTGGTGCATAAATTTGAATAATAGTATTAACTGGTCTTTCTTATAGGTGTATGGATATTATCCAATCACTGACAGCATTGTATTTCAGGATAGATCTTGAAATGTTCTTTTTGATGTTCAGCAGGACCCTGTTCCCCTTCAATGTGTCATTCTTACTGTGTAGACCATTTAATTGTCAGATTCAAAATGGCTAATACCAGTCTGTTTCAGCTCACTAATGTCTAGGATATTGATCTTTATGTATTCCATTTCGTTTTTGACGACTTCCAATTTTCTTAGATTCATACTTCATACATTCCACATTCCGATTACTAACGGACATTTGCAGCTGCTTCTTCTCATTTTGAGTTGTGCCCCATCAGCAAATGAAGGTCCTGAATGCTTTACTCCATCTACATCATTAAATTCAACTCTACTTTTAGGAGCTCTGGTAGCATAGTGACTAAGACACTTGACTGCTAACCAGAAGCCTGGCGGTTCAATCCCACCAGCCACTCCTCAGAAGGAAAATGGGGCAATCTACTTCCGTAGTGATACTGCCTTGGAAACCCGAGGAGGGGTCACTATGAGTTGGGCCCAACTCGACGGCACATAACAACAACAACAACTTTGAGGAGGCAGGAGGTCTTGTAGCATAGTGCCTAAGGCATTTGACTGCTAACCAGAAGGCTGGCGGTTCAAACCAACCAGCCACTCCTCAGAAGGAAGGTTGGGCAATCTGCTTCTGTAGTGATACTGCCTCAGAAACCCAAAGAGAGGTCTCTATGAGTTGGATTTGACATGACAGCAGTGAGTTTGTTTGTTTGTTTTGAGGAGGCAGCTTTTCCCCACTTGTATTTTGAGTGCCCTCCAACCTGAGGGGCTCATCTAGCACTATATGAGACAGTGTTCTGCTGCTATTCATAAGATTTTCACTGGCCACTTTTTTCAGAAGTAGCTCACAGGTTCTCCCTCCTACTGTCTTAGTCTGGAGCTCTGCTGAAACCTGTCCACCATGGTGACTCTGCTGCTATTTGAGACATTGGTGGCATAGCTTCCAGCCTCACAACAAGATGCAAGGCACCACAGTACAACACACTGTCGATGGGGGTAGAGGGAGGTGTAGTGGGTTTCAGTGTAAGAGAAGGAAATATGTTTGCAAGACAGACTAACCCCACAAGAGAATCGCTGCCTTGGGCACCTGCTAGTGGAAATTTTCAAGAAGGACTCCTGAAGGTGCAGAGAGACCAGCTATCCAACCCACTCAGCCATCTGGCCTGAGGGTCTACTCAGCTCTGTGGGCTCTGGACCGATGGTTCTGAGGGTGTGTGTGTGAAGGGTGGAGTGTGGGGGCACGTATGTCGGTGTGGGGGCCACTCTACAGGCCTCTCTGTGCTCCTTTTTCCCTTCTCGTCCTATTGTCCCCCCATCTTTGTTTCCATCCCTTTGGATTCCCCAAGGGCCAGTGCCTAGAATCTCGGGAGGAGTGGGGGAGCAGGGGCTGTTCCCGGGTTCCAGGTCAGCCCACAGGCCCTCCCCGGCTCCCTTCTCTTGTCTGGGCGCCTACCCCTTCCGCATAGGCTCTCCTTGCCTCTCCCCAGCCTCTCAGCGCCTCTCTCCACCATCAGTGTCACTGAGTCAATTCCCTGGAATAATCACATTTTCCGGTCAACTCCCTCCTCCCAGCCAAGCATGTTGCCGGGAAACCCCAACCAGTCAGGCCCAGGAGGCTTCTCCGGAGGGCCAGGAGACTTGGGGGAGGGCCCAGTACCCTTACTTTGGCTGGCCCCAGATGACACAGACACCTTTCTGGGAGGTGGGGAGGGGAGAGGAGAACAAAAGCGCAGGGCGGGGGCAGGGGGCGTTTTGGAGGGCTAAGTTAAACGGAGCTGAATGCTGCACTCTGATGCCCCCACGAGACCAGGCTCCAGGCTTCACTGTCATACACCAGCCCCCACCCCCTGACCCAGCTCCTGGAGAGAAAGCAAGGGGGGAGTTCAGGGAGGGGACAGAGTCTCCCTTGGAGAGACTCAGAGAGAAGGCTCCTGGGAGGGCCTGGTCCAGGAGGTGGCACCAGCCAAACTGGAAGACTTCACCCCACCCCACCCCCGGGGGGCGGGATTCAGTAAACAAGGAGGGTCTGGAAGCCAAGAACATGGTGTCAGGAGTTGGACAGACCTTGCATCCATCATGGATCTGTCACTTGGTGCTTATCACATAACATCTCTGAGCTTTATCTGTAAAATAGAATGTCTCTGTGAACTGCTTTATGGATGAAATACAGGGCAGTTCATGGCACAGGGTGATTACTCTTATGTAAATTATTTTTTTGTTGTTGTTATGTGCTGATGAGTCGGACCTGACTCATAGTGACCCCTTCTTGGCGGTATCACTACCGAAGCAGATTGCCCCATCTTCCTTCCGAGGAGTGCCTGGTGGGTTTGAACCGCCAGCCTTCTGGTTAATGGTCAAGTGCCTTAGGCACCATGCTCAGAACCTGCCACACAAGTCTCCTTGCCAACCCCATCTATTTATTTATTTTTTAATGGTTGTATTATGTCCTGCTTTACGGAGCCCTATAATTTAATATTTAACATAATACAGCCATTAAAAAAATAGATGGTGTTGGCAAGGAGACTTGTGTGGCAGGGGTTCTGAGCCTGGGGTGCACACCTGTGGATCAGGAACACCCTCAAATTATCCTCAGAACTTGGTAAGAGTGCATTTTTCTGGAGAGAGAGGTGGAAATTATCAGATTGTCAAAGGGATTTGTTACCCTCAAAAGGTTGAAAACTACAGGCGTTTATTGCATTGTGCCTTTTGGCTAAGATCGTGTGGAAAGCACTGGCATGTATTTAGCATGATGTCATTAAAGTCTGAAAGGGTATGATCCAAATATTGTGCTTTTCTTTAGGTGGTGGGCTGTAGGTTTTTGGTTTTTTTTTTTTTTTTTTGGCTGAACTGTGTTTTCTACCAGGAGTCTATTTTACTTGTATGGTTAAAAAGAAACAGGGTTTAATTGTCATCTAAGTCACTTCTAAAGGATGGCTTGTTGTGTGCCGTCAAGTTGGACCCGACTCATAGTACCCCTCCTTGGGTTTTTGAGGAATATCTCTAGGGAAGTAGATCACCCAATCTTCCTTCTGAGGAGGGGTTGGTGGATTTGAACCACCAGCCTTCTGGTTAGCAGTCAAGTGCCTTGGGCACTAGGCTGTCAGAGGTCCTTCAAGGATGTCTTGGATAATCTTACTTAACTTCTCAGTCTCAATGCCTGATGTATCAATGATAACCTCAAAAGGTAACTGTTAGGACTGTTGTTGTTGTTGTTATGTGCCGTTGAGTCAGACCCCTCCTTGGGTTTCCAGGGCAGTATCACTACGGAAGTAGATTGCCCCATCTTCCTTCTGGGGAGTGGCTGGTGGGTTTGAACCGCCAGCCTTCTGGTTAGCAGTCAAGTGCCTTAGCCACTACGCTACCAGAGCTTACTGTTAGGACTGGATTTATGCAAAGAAGGGCCCTGGGGAGGCGGGTTCACTTTGGCCTGCCTCCCTAGTGTTGGGCTGTCATCAATTCATTCAACAAGTACTTACTGTCTAAATGCTTGGCGCTGTTCTAGGTGCTGGGAATGAAGAAAAAGGGTCCAAGGGTCAAAATTAAATAAAAAAAGTTACATATATTGCCACTCCTCGGAAGGAAGGTTGGGCAATCCTACTTCCGTAGTGATACTGCCTCGGAAACCCAAGGAGGGGGTCGCTATGAGTCGGGGCCGACTCGACGGCAAACAACAACAACAACAACATATGCTTATTGTAGAAAATAGGAAAATAAACATCTATGCAAAGAAAGCACCTATAAGTGTACTGTTTAGAAGCAATTACATGTTTTTAATTTTGGCGGCTTTCTGGTCGATTCCTTTGCTTAAACAGTTAAATGTTCTGCACAACTTGGTCTCCTCCTGCCTTTTCACATTGTCAAGCATTTTCTAGGCCATTAAAAATTCAGTTAGTGCACACTTTAAAAAATGGTAAGAGAAAGGCAGGAGACTGAAACCAGCGCCCCCCACTGTCCCCCGCAAGCAAGGCAGCCCGGAGGGTCCTCCCGTCTGACCGTGGCTCTTTGTGTCTTCCCTCCCTCCCCTCGCCGGCTCCTCGTGCTCCGGGCCGCAGACAGCGAGCTGGTGCTTCCGGACTGCCTCCGGCCGCGCTCCTTCACCGCCCTGCGGCGGCCGTCGCTGCGGCGCGAGGCGGACGACGCGCGCCTCTCGGTGAGCCTGTGCGACCTCAACATGCCGGGCACCGACGGCGACGAGGGCGCGCCGCCCGCCGGCTGCCCCATCCCGCAGAACTCGCTCAACTCGCAGCACAGCCGCGCGCTGCCCGCCCAGCTCGACGGCGACCTGCGCTTCCACGCGCTGCGCGCCGGCGCGCACGTCCGCATCCTGGACGAGCAGACGGTGGCGCGCCTGGAGCACGGGCGCGACGAGCGCGCGCTCGTCTTCACCAGCAGGCCCGTGCACGTGGCCGAGACCATCTTCATCAAGGTCACGCGCTCGGGCGGCGCGCGGCCTGGCGCGCTATCGTTCGGCGTTACCACGTGCGACCCCGGCACGCTGAGGCCCGCGGACCTGCCCTTCAGTCCGGAGGCCCTGGTGGACCGTAAGGAGTTCTGGGCCGTGTGTCGCGTTCCGGGGCCCCTGCACAGCGGCGACATCCTGGGCCTGGTGGTCAACGCCGACGGCGAGCTGCACCTCAGCCACAATGGCGCCGCCGCGGGCATGCAGCTGTGCGTGGACGTCTCGCAGCCGCTCTGGATGCTCTTCAGCCTGCACGGGGTCGTCACGCAGATCCGCATCCTCGGTGAGTGTCCCCCGTGACACCTGGCCGGGGACTGGGGCCTCGACACCCGAGGCTGGCCGTCATCTGCCCTCCTCTGACCAGCATTGTGCCTTTCCTGGAGGCAGGAGGTGGGGCCGATGGATGAAGGGAAAAAAGGGCACCCCTCCACCCCCTACTCCCCAGCAAATTGTGCCAAGGAGTCTCAGATCCAGAAGGTGACTTCTGGGTGGTGCTTGATCTTGCATTCGAGTGGTCCTCAAATCTCCCGGCCCTAGTGGGGAGCTGAAAATCGTGACTTGAGTTTCACACTTTCAAGGTGATGCACCCACGTTCCTGCAGAAACATAAACAGCCCAGATCTACACTCCCCAGAGGCCACTTATAAAAGGAATAAAATGGCTTACAGTAGCAATGAATTTTTTTTTTAATTATTGTGATTTAGATGAAAGTTTACAGAGAAAATTCATTTTCCACACAGCAGTTCATACACATTTTGCTTCATGACATTGACTGCAATTCTCTACAGTGTAACAGCTCTCTTCCCACTTCCTCCCTGTAGTTACCTCTTGCCTGTGTCATTCTTTCCCCTGCATTCCTGCCTCCTCCTTTTCTCCCTGTGCCAACACTGCCCTTCTGTTCTCCAACTGTTGATCCTCTAAGGAGTGTATTGGGAGCTCTGGTAGCGTAGTATCTAAGGCACTTGACTGCTAACCAGAAGGCTGGTGGTTCAAACCCACCAGCCACTCCTCAGAAGGAAGATGGGGCACTCTACTTCCGTAGTGATACTGCCTTGGCACCCAAGGGGGGGTCGCTATGAGTCAGGTCTGACTCGACAGCACACAACAACAACAACAAGGAGTGTGTCTACCTGATGTAAATGTTCACCCCATATGCCTGCTGTTTGGCTGGAAGCTACAGGAGCAAGTTCAGTTCCAGACCTGAGGGGTAACTAGGGGCCACAGTCTCAGGGGTCTCACCAGGCTCTATCAGACCAGTAACTCTGGTCTTTGTTTTGTGATTTCGAGTTTTGTCCCATATTGGTCTTCCACTCTGTCTAGTATCTCCTGTACTGATCCCTTTCTGAGTGGTTGATAGTGGTAGCTGGGCACTATCTAGTTCTTCTGGTCTCATGATCATATATGACGTGGGGAAACTGTGAAAGTGAAGGATGTCTGGGGAGGGGTGGAGATGGGATTCTAGGCAGGGGGCTAGTTTGAAGCCTATTGATATAGTAAGACCAGAACATGAAGCAGCCCTTTAATTTGTAGGTGGGAGCAGAGAGCTGGGGCAGGATGCCAAAGCAGCCTGTGAACCCCTGCCCTGAGCCCAGTGGTTGGTCCAACAGTGCCACCACTGTCTCTCCTGGGAATCCACTGAGGGGAGGAGATGCCCTTGGAGTCCGAGTGGCGAGTGTATCCCTCCCTCCTTCCCTCCTCTTTTGTAGGCTCCACCATCCTGGCAGAGCGGGGCATCCCATCTCTGCCCTGTTCTCCTGCCTCCACGCCAACTTCACCCAGTGCCCTGGGCAGCCGCCTCTCTGACCCCCTGCTCAGTACATGCAGCTCTGGACCTCTGGGTAGCTCTGCTGGTGGTACGTACCCTGTCCCCCTAACCCCCATCCCAGTTCCAGGTGATAACCTGAGACCCTAAGGTTGAGGCAGGGATGCAGTCTCCGTATCAGGGGCAGCTGAGCCAGGCTCAGTGACCCCTTGCTGAGTGATGATTTCTGGGCTATGTTCCATCCTGTCCTCTAGCTGGGCAGCTTTCTCAGCACACGGAGGGAGCACCAAAGGGCAGCTCAGTAGGGGCCTGTCTTAAAATATTCGGGGCTCCATGCTTTCCTGTATCCCTGCTTCTGTTTTTCCCTCCCCTGGCCTCATGACCACCCTTGCCCCTGATATGGGGGTGAGTGGACCAGGAGTGGGGTTCCCCAGGAAGTGCATCCTCTGCTTCCCTTGCCCAGGAAGTGGGCTCATCAGAATAAACAGGGAGATCCCGATAAATGCAGGTGGAACAAGAGGCCAGGGGCTCTTATCCCACGAACCTAGGCCAAGCTCCTGGGCCTGGCTGAGCCTTGCCTCTCCCTGACCAACACCCCCTTTTCCCCAGGCACGACCCCCAACTCACCAGTGAGCCTGCCTGAGTCCCCGCTGACCCCAGGCACGGGCCAGTGGAGTGATGAATGCACCATTTGCTATGAGCACGCGGTGGACACAGTCATCTACACGTGTGGCCACATGTGCCTCTGTTACGCCTGTGGCCTGCGCCTCAAGAAGGCTCTGCACGCCTGCTGCCCCATCTGCCGCCGTCCCATCAAGGACATCATCAAGACCTACCGCAGCTCCTAGCCCGGCGCAGTGCCCTGCCCTGCACGCCCAGCTCCTTAGACTTTGGCTCAGCTCCAGCTGAGGGGCAAGTCACCAGGGCCCTTCTCTTCTTCCTTATTTTGGAAACTCTTCCCTTCTCCATTAAACATGGAAAACTAAAGCCCCTCAAAGTTTGCAGAGACAGAGAGGGTGTCAGGCAGGGAGGTGGGGCATAAGCAGATTGCCTGGCAGAGGGGAGAGGAGCAGTCCCTACCTTACTCTTCTCTGTACCTGACACTTCCCGCCATGCTGCGGGGCTGGAGTGGAATCCCAGCCTGTTCTAGTCTTGCCCCATGTGGGGCCGATTTCTCAGAGGTCACTCAAGTCCATGTGGCCCCTTCCTCTGGGCAGATCCGGCTTGGCTAGTGGAGTACAGACTGTATTCCAGCCTCCATGTGCTCCCTCCAAGCCACCACCTACCCAGGAGCAGTGCACTGTCCAACGGGAGCCCTGCAGGCAGCCTCTGAGCTGCCTTTTGCCCTCTCACCTATGCCTGCTCCTCCTTCCTCTCCTCCCTGTCCCTTGGGGCTGGCAGCCGGGGCTCAGAGACCTGTGGATGCCCTTTATCCCTGGGAGGTTGCAGCCTCCACGCCATCTCTCTTCCACCCACCTGTGATGGGTGGACAGACAGGCTGAAGAAAGGTCCCCATTCTGGGCCCCTGGGCCCCTGGCCTGGCCTAGATGGGGCAGCCCCTTCCTGGCCATAGCCTTTCTGGCCCAGTCATCTCACTGGGTGCTGCTGTCCAGGGGAGGCCATTTGGTCTGTCTGCTGGGGGGCATGCAGGGGGTCTGTCTGCTGTCAGAGTCTGCAAGAACAGATTTGCAGCCACTGTCTCTGACCTGTCCTCCCACATCTCAGTGCTGACCCGGGCCGATGCTCAGGATGGCTGAAGTATATACCCCTGGGAGGGGGCCAGGGGCCTGGGTTGGTGCAGGGGACTTCTTGGGAAAAGATGAGTCTTTTCCCTTATCTTTATTTATTTATTTATTAGGTGTGTGGGAGTTTTTTTTTTTTTTTTTGATGGGTCAGTTTCCATCACTAAGGCCTCTAGAGATGCTGCCCTTGTGAGGAGCCTGGTGAGCAGGGGCGTCAGGTGTAGTCATCATTCCCAGGCTCCAGCCCCAGAGCCCAGAGCTGGCCCTGCTCACTGTGAGTTGGAGATCCAACATGAATTGGAATGATAAAAAGTGGCCAAGTTGGGAGACCTCCTGATGAACTGTGTCATTTTATAGAAAGGTACACTGAGCCCCCTTATTGCCCTGGAGTTGGCAAGTCACCCAGAGCCACAAAGTGCCCTTCTTCCCTAGGCTGGAGCAGGCTTGTCATGGTTGGCTCAGATACATCAGGGCAGCCCAGGGTGGTCAGGAAACAGGGATGGGGCAACTGGTCGTAGGATAGCAAGGAATATGGTCTTAAGAAGGGCTCTCTTCCTGGGAAGATGGAAAGGGGTCAGGGTCCCAACACCCCTGGGTCCTTACTCCTGGTTCTGGGATGAAGGAGTGCCGTTCCTACCCCTAGGGTACAGTCATTGCAGCCCTGCCCACCTTGTCCTGATTGGCCAAGGCCTGGTTTCAGCTCCCATAGCCCTCTTTCCCCTTACTGGCTTTATTATGCCCAACAGAGACAGCTGCTTCCTAAGCAGAGCGCGGGGCTGGTGGTCAGCCAGGCCAGAGACTCTGGTCTTGGCCACTGATCAGTTGTGTGGCCCTGGCCAGCTCAGAGCCCTTCTGTCTAAGAGTCTACCTCTGTAAAATGGTTGTGAGAGTATCAGGACTCTGCAGGACCCTGGGGAGTTCTTTGGAGAGAGGCCGAAATGGGGGGGTATGACAGGAGACCACTAGGGGGGTCAGGACACCAGACTGGGACTTGCAGGGGGCCTTTGGGGATATCACAGTTGCACTGTGGATCTCTGCTCCCCAAGAGGAGACCCCTACTGTGTCTGTTTGTGGGGGCTGGGTAGTGGGCCCCATCTAGGCAGGAGCTTTGTGGCCTGGGGGTCAGGAAGAGGAAGCCACGCATCCCATTATCTCTAGTGCTGGGGGGTAGCCCCTGCTTCCCTTTGTGAACTGGGTCTCTGTGATTGTGAATAAAGGTGATTTCGTACCAGCCTGAGGGCTGTACTGGGCTGTGGAGAGGTGGGAAGGAAGGGCCAATGTGTGTGTGGGGCGGGCCAGCTGTCCTGGATAGGAGGGCAGTCAGCTAGTGGCATGGGCTGGCCTTGGGGGATAATCGTGGGCTCTGAGGCCCCCAAGGAAGCTGGAACAATCAGGGAGGCCTCCGTGGGTTGGGGGCTCTGGAGCATGACCTGGGGTTTGGACAGGCACCACTGGGGCCAGAATGCCAGGTGGGCCTTGTTGCACACTGAAAGGGAGAAGCTACTGCCTTTCAGATGGCCTTTGGTACCTGGGGCTGGGAGGAGCACGGTGTGGTGGGGCAGGAGCAATGGAGACAACTCCTAAGGCCTTCCAAGAGTCCGATGGAGCGAGCAAGCCTGTCCAAGCCTGGCCCACAGCTATTGAGGGAGGGCAGTGCCACCTGGGGGCCAGTGAAGGGGATGACAAGTCTCCACTCAAGTCAGTCAGAGTTGCTCTGAGCTTTCCCAGTGTAGAGGAGCTCTGGTAGCATAGTGCTCAAGGCACTTGACTGCTAACCAGGAGGCTGGCGGTTCAAGTCCACCAGCCACTCCTGTGAAGGATGATGGGGTACATCTGGATGGCTGAAGGAATTGGAGGTGGCACTGAAGGTGAGGAGGCCATATCTGGAGAATGCGGACCCCTGGTGCACCCTGCCCCCTCAGCCTCTGGCTTTCCAGCTTCTGCCTAGACTTCAGCAGCCATGTCTGTTCCAGCTTCTGCCTAGACTTCAGCAGCCATGTCTGCTGACTCACTTAAGAGTCAGGGTCAGGGGGCAGCTAGGCCCACAGAGCAACTGAGCTTGAGCATGATCCTCACACAAAAACTGGGAACTCCCCTTTTTTGTCAGAAGATAGAGGTATAGGTTTCCAGCAAAGAAGTTCTGTTCAGTTAAAAAGGTCAAAAACTTTATTTAGTTTTCAGGGAAATATAAGATGCATGTAAACATAAACAAAATATAAAACAAAACAACCCAAATCTTACAGTCTAGAAGCATGCCAAGACACGCATTTTCTGCAGAGTCCCGTGATAAAGGATGCCTGGAAAGTGGCAGGCCAAAGGGCTGGGTCCCTTCCCCAAGGATGCTGCATTTTTGTGATGAGAACAATTAAAAAAAAAAAAAAACATTATTAGAAATATTAGAAACATGGAGATTAGCACCACCATTGGTCCTAGGAAATTTTTAGCACTCAGATTAACCACCATCGAATCCGATGCCCTATTCTCCAGTTTCCCTGCGGAAGGGGAGAAGGAACACCCTGGAGGCAGGGTTCCTCCTGACCTCGTGGTCACACCAAGCTGCTAGGCGCTGGGAGAGGCTGAGTGGACACCACAGAATTCTCCAAAGTTCCGGAGCCCCAGAAAGATTCGCTAGTTCACATCCAGCCATGCGGTCCACATACTCATGTTTTAGGGACCTGCCACTCACACCTGCCTCACTCAGAAGCCCACCTTCCTGCAGAGCTCTTGGTAACTGGCAGTGAAGCCCATTCCCATCCTGTAGTTGCAGAGCTAACAAGTTGTAAATTCAAGAGTAGTGGCTCCATTTACCCTTTCTCCAAAACTAAACTCTCCAGAACAGTGTGCCTTGATTATAGGCTACTAGTAAAGGAAAGGGCATATCTATGGATGAGTTTGCATTTCACCAGGAGGCAGGCTCAGCACAAAGATGAACCCCAAGTACCATTAACCTTGAGAATATCTGGTACCAGCAGAACAAATGGGGTTGCCTTCCCCCCACATCTGCCTGATAGAGCCTGGGCCCCAAGGTTCCAGTTTGAGGATGGTGGGCCCTTATTGCATCATGGTCACTGGGTCTCTGATTGACTCAGTTTTGAGAGTCTGGCTCTGGACAGACTCTCTGGTGGGGAGAACTGGCTGGGAACCCAGGAGACAGATACATATTACAAAGCCAGGGCCTCCAAAGCTCTAATAAAAGATTGATGTGTTGCTGCTGACTGGCCCCTCCACGACCTAAAGCAAAAACAAAAACTCACTGCCATCGAGTAAATTCTGACTCATAGTGATCCCCTTTGTGTTTGCAAGGTGGTAAATCTTTACGGAAGTAGATTGCCCAGTCTTCCTTCTACAGAGTGGCTGGTGGGTTTGAACCGCCAGCCTTCTGGTTGGCAGTCAAATAAATGCCTTAGGTACTACGCCACCAGAAAATAGCCACTCAATGGCTCGGTGAGTAGCAGTTTTCTCTGGCTGGTTGACAACGTGGCCACATTTGGGGGCTTTTCCAGCCTGCTCTGGCTGGAGCCCTGGGTGTTGAATCACCAAATTCCAGCCCACCTGCTCTTCTCTCCTTCCAGCAACACTCAGAATTGACTTGTTCCCTCTCAACAAAAACAAAACTTAAAATTCCAAACCCTCCTCAAGCCTTCTCACATTTCTTTCCTGCCTCGAAGACATCCTCTTCTGGAAGCTTCCCTGGTAAAGGGACAGAAGCCCCAGCCACCCAAAACATCCACACACTCATCTCACCAACTTAGCTCTTGCATACCTCCAACGTGCTCAATCAACTCCTTGCTCTGAAACAGCAAGCCTTCCTCTTACACTTCCTGAGGCCCAGGCCATTAGCCAGGATGGAACTGGGACCAAGACTCAGACCATCAACACAGGGGCCCCAATTCTCTAAGGCCACTAAGTTCTAGGATTGGGGGAAAGGACTGATTGTCAAGATCAAGTGCAAACTCAAGATTAACGATTGCAGGAGGGCTGCATGGTAATTCCAACCTTGGTTGGGATCAAGGCCTTGGAGGGTGGCACCCTCCACCCAGTCTACGGTCCACAAGTGCCAGCATGCTCAACTTCTGGCTGGGACACCTAGGTGTGGCAGGACAAAGCAGGAGGGAAGACAACTAAAATTAATGGGCTGTTTTTCCTGAATTGAGGCTGTATTACTGACCCTGTCCTCTCACTGGCTCTGACCACCGAGCCACAGGCATGAGACTGCACCAAATGGGGATGACAGTTTAGTCAAAAAGCTCAGTAGGCTCCAGGGGGAGCCCTCTGCAGTATTCCCATTAAGTGTCCAGCTGGCCCCATGGCCTACAGATTAGGTGGGTCTTGCTGGGCTCACATGAACAAGTTCTCGTCCTGACCAGCCTACCCCAGTCTTGGAAATGCTAGAACCAAGAGGCCAGCAACTCTGTTATTCTATGGGGATTGTCACACCAATGACATGTACAGGAATGGATGGGA